ATAGGATGGCTTATCCTCCCCCTAACTTGTAATTGTAATTTAGGTTTCTTTCTGATTTTTTTTTACTGTTTTAAGAAATCATCATAATTTTTTTTAAATGAACATCCAATTCTATTTGCCTCCAGATAGACATACAGTTTTCCCAGCACCAATTAAAAACCAATTCAATTTTAGGCGGCCAGATGGCTCAGCTGGTGAGACCACGTGCTCTTAACGGCAAGGTTGCTGGTTAGACTCCTGCATGGGATGGTGGGCTGTGCCCCACCCCCCTGACAACTAACTGAAAGAAGTGACTGGACTTGGAGCTGAGCTTGTGCCCGCCACCGCTGGGACTGAAGGACAGCAACTTGAGCTGGAGCTGATGGGTCCTGGCAAAACACAATGTTCCCCTTCCCCAATTCCCCAATAAAAAAATAAAAATCTTAAAAAATAAAAAAAATAAAAAATTCAATTTTAATGAACTAAAATATCACTTAGCCTATTTCTGTTTCCTTTTAGAGGCAATATGTCCCTTAGTGTTCAACAGATAGGCCCTGGAGCCACACTGCCTATATTCAAATCCCAGCCTGAATACTTAACATCTGCTTGACCTTGGGTAAGTTATTTAACCTATGAGACTTAAAAATCTCCAAGTCAGAATCTTTACAATAAGATGCCTATTAGACATGGGAGTACTGCTACTGAATAACCAGGACAGATGACTTCTGTGGAATCAGAAAAGGTATTTAAAACCATGGGGCTAGATGAGGTCACTATGGAGAAAATGTAGACAGAGGACTCAACACTCGGCCATAGAGCCGCGATACTGCTGTAGAGGACAGGAAGAAGAGGAAAAGCAAGCAAGGCCACAGGAGGAGCAGCCAGTGAACACGAGGGAAACCGAAGTGGGGGTGTGATGTGAAGGGCCAGTGAAGGAGGGGCTGCACCGCCTCGTAGGAGGTCAAGTAAAGAAGACAGAGCATTAACTACTGAAGTGACAAGATGGAGGTATTTGGGACTCTGACATGAGCTGTTACAGTGAAATGGCAGGGAAGAAAGCTTAACCATGGCGGGTTAAACAGAGAACGGAAAAGAGCAAAGTGAATCCTGGGTTCTTCCCACTCCAAACCTGTGGGACTAAAATAATTATTTTAAACACTGGTATTTTGGAGCTCAAATTATTAAAACTCCACTGTACTCATCTATGTTTTTATATCTATATAAATACAATAAATAAAATGTAAATATTTTTGTAGATACAAAGCATAAAACACAAAAGTATACTTGAATAAATATGAGAAAACAAAAAATGAAATATCAGAATAAAAAACCTGCATGCTTCAATTTAGGTGTTATATTAAATATAAATATTTTAAAAGAATAAAATATAATTTATAATTACATTTTGACAGTATAAAAATAACCGTAACATAGAAAAGAATATAAGATAAATAATATTATTTCATCATTATGAGAAGCAGTTGAGACAACCATTGTTTGTAAACCTGGCTATGCATCAGAATCCCTGAGGGCTTGTTGAAAAACAGCTTCTTGGGCCCTAACTATAGCCCTACCTGAGTCTCAAGACCTCACATGATTCTGACCCAGACAGTCAACCCCCTAGAAGGAACAAGGATGGAGGTAACGCTCGAGAGCTTTACCACTTGCTTTCTAAGCAAAAAAGTAGCGAGAAGCAGGAAGATTTGCTGGAGGAGACTCTAGACTAGATTCCTAATTCTGTTCAAGAATGGCAGAGAGAAAGACAAACTATGAATTAACAAATATTTATTACAGACCTAACATTACCTGGCACCGTGCTAGGCACTGAAATAACCCTCTATGCTTCTGCCCTCATGGAGCTTATAATTTAGTTGAGAGATTAAGACAATAAACAAGTAAATACGAACAGATTTGTATTAAGATGTTAATTTGTGCTTTGTTGTTGTTATTGTAAGAAAGAAAGGTATTTTTTCTGTGTCCTTTTCAAGGAATCTTATAGACTGAGATTCATATCCTAACAGTTTTTCTTTTGCAAATTCAAAAACACAAGTTCTGAAAACCTGAAAAACACCCTGAATATCTGAAACCCAAGATATTTGAATGAGAGGAAGGCAATCAGTTTTATATCTACCAAAAGACATTAAAATCAAGCCAACGATGATCAGTATTACTGATAGTAATGCACATGACTCTCATCCATAGAAATGAAAACTGTGGAAGTGGCAATGCAGCTGATGACCACATATACGTTATGCTTTTTGAATTCTCCTTGAACTAGTTGTAACATCTTACTGATTCCCTTGTTAATTAACAAATGAAATAAAACCTATGACACACGTTTGTTTTATATTTTTGAATCATGTTTTTATCTTTTAAAAAATTTTTAAACATGTTATATCTACTTGCCTAAATGATGTTTACTTCAAAGATGCTTCTATATTTTTAA